CCACAACAACTTACGTTATTAGCCATGAGGACATTCAAGGGTGGCAAAAGTACTTGTGTATGAAGGTAGAGCAGCACATGAAGTGAGAGTGGGGAAATAGATGGGGACTTCAAGACGAAAAGTTCAGGGTGTTTTTGTTGCAAAATAATAGCATATTTCTTTTTGGTAATCATGATATAAAGTATCTATGATTAAAAGTATTTACTAATCTCTTTTCTTTTAATATAATCAATTTCATCTTCAGATCCGAATTCTGAACAACTTGATTAAGTGATATAAATTGTTAATGTTAATAAAAAAATAATAGCACATTTGAGTAATAATTTACTATGTATGTTACTTTTTAATTGTAACTTAAAGATTTTTATACACAAACAAAAATAATAATAAACTTTTTTATTTTTCATGGAATTGTTTTAAAGTTTTTTATTGTACTTTGTTTTACTCAACAATATTATAAATGTGTAATTAATTAAAAATTAAGTAAAAAGTAAGAGTATATAACTGATAAAATTAAATAGTAATTAATTATCTCATCTTGAACTTTGAAAATAATAGATAAATAAGAGCAAAACTCTACTAAAAAAAATTGATAATCTAAAATAAATAGACAGTGTAATTTTGTATTTTGTAAAACAACTTAGTCAAAATGAAATTAAACTTAAAATTCTTTAAATAAGATTTGGGTTAGATTTTATAAATGAAAAATAGTATTTAAAAAAGTTTGTAGTCAATTAAGTTTTCTAATCAACATTAGTTATTGAGTAAATCTATATATATTTTGTATTAACAACATGATGAATAAAAAAATATATTAACTAAAAACCATATTGTTATGTAAATGTTATTAAGGTTTTACAAACTTTGAAAAATGATAGATAATGTTGTGACTTATATACTTTATATAGTATTGTCTAAGTTCTTTAAGATTGAATACTTATGTTAGTCATTACCAAATCTAAATTAAATATCAAAGTTTATTTATTTTAAGTTTCATTCTTTGGTTACATATACTTGTTATGCATTTTTTTATTCAATGTGACACTTAATTTTAGAAAATAATTATAAATGAGAGAAATATACTCTCTATATGTCATTCTTTTATTCGATGTAAAACTTTAATTCTAAAAAATCTATTAAAGATGAGAGCAATATATTTTGTGTCATTCTTTTACTCGAAGTGAGATTTTAATTTTAAGAAGCAATTAGAAAAAATAATATTAAGATAAAGAAAAAGTTACACTATATATAATAACATTTTCTAAAAAAATGTTACAATAACTTATTAACTAAATCTATAATAACATTTTAATTATTATAAGTAGAGAAATGTTACTAAAGAAGCTAAATGTAGTAGTGTTATGTGTTAAAAAAAAAAAAAAAAAAAAAAAAAAAAAAAAAAAAAAAAAAAAAAAAGGAGAAAAATTTGAGCATTCATGCCTAAGGTTTTCATGTTCATTAATGAAATCCCTGCTTTGAAATGGAGGTACCCATTAATAATAGAGAATTTGTTTTTCAAAAACGAGTGAACTAAGCATTGCATAGAAAAATTACATAGCAAGCTGATCTAGCTGCAGTGTAAGTTTCTTGTGCCTTAGGGCCAATCGATCAATCATCAAGACAAAGCTAGAATTCTAGCTATTTGTCGATGTTAATAGTGTTAGTATTATTCAAAAAGTAACTATTTATATAATATAGGTTTTAATCAACACACAAATTACGTTATATATAGCCTCGTTAGTAAAACCAATGCATACCAACTTGGGTGTGAAGACTAATATGTACTCACAAATTATACTCAGTATAGTTGAAGACGTATTTTTTTATGATGTATATATACATGATCTAATTTTCTCAATACGTATGCATAGATACCGAAGTATGATGAGGTTATTTTATTATATTTATCTGAGAAAATATTTTATAAGGGTTACTTTTATAAAATTATTTCACACACAATTCTACAACGAAGAGATATTGTTCACTTTGAATCTAAAACTTCACTATTTTACTTTTAGTCATCATCCAAAAAATATTTTAAATATTGGAGTATGTGTTTTATAAATTATAAATTTTTTCTCTTATTTTATCAATATAGGATTTGTTTGTATTCTAACTAAGCACATCTCTATAGATACTCTTACAATATCAGAATTGATATCACCACTCTGGTTTGGACAAATTCAGCTCAACTTTTGAAGAATTCACCAGGAACACAGATGACCAGAACAACCTATAGCACAACTTTGATCAAACCTAGTGATCCGAACTAATCATATATTTCTGGTCCATTAGTAATGTAAACATACAAAGCATGTTCAAGTCTTTCCTATGTGTCTAAATAAAATAAAATAAAAAATATAACTGAACACATAATTCGAGGTCAAAATTAATATCTAATCAATTTATATATCTAGATTTAATTCTGGCCGGTGTATTCCGTGTTAATGTTCGCATGCATTTGTGGCTTTATCTCTAGCTACTTCAAATAGCAACTCACTCAGATTACAAATTAATATGATGACTAAAGGCAACAAAACCAAACTTGTGGCAACCAAAACAATGAGACCTGTGATTGTTGTCATTTCATCGACGCCCAATATAGTTGAAGATGTTACAAATTTTTTACATAATTAAGAAGTAATTAATTCAACCAATGAACACTCTATGACTCACCATTTAGACTATAATATTAGGACTGAAAATTAGTCAAGTTGAATCGAGTTCGATTCAACTCGACTTGATAATATTTCACTCAATTCACAACTTGATTCGAGTATGACACAAATCTATTTTTCAGTTCAAACTTGACTTGATTAGTTCAAAATCATTGGCATCTCGATTTAGTTAGTTAATTTGAATCACATGAGTCAAGGATTAATTTTTTTTAATCTTATACATTTTAAAATTTCAAGTTACTAATAGAGTTTATATTAAATGATTGTTTATTTTTTTAAAAGACAAAACATAACTTATTATAATATTTTTGCAAGGTTACAATGTATGACTCTAAAAAAAATATATAATTACAATCAAAATCTCCATAAATAAAAACTACTTTACTTTGCATATAATAATAATAAAAAAAACCTCAATTCATATAATTATGAAATTGTAAAATATTCACTTTTTTATTTATTATTATTAGTTTATAATTGAGTTTTAAATGTTCTTTCAAATTTTAATAGATTAAAATTAAATAAAAAGTTAATTATAAACATATATTTATATACATATCGAGTTGATTCATGAATTAAATAAGTTAAACTATACACAATTTAAGTTCAATTCATTTATTTATCGAATTCAATCTTTAGATAAGTTCAATTCTTTTGATTCATGAACCAAATTTAATAAATTATCAAATCAAATTTTAAACTATGTTAGAGTGGGTTGGTATAAATGACCCATGGAATAATTTTCTACATTCCGAAGATCAAGACTTATGAAATGGATGCTAGACAAAAAGTTATATTTATTTTGTCAAAGCCAGACCCATATTAGGTTGGTGATGCACACATGCAAGTTTTAAAATGCAGTAATTCAAATTTTGCTGCTATATCCATTACTAATGAGACTTGAAAGAACCTTGTAAATACGTATGCAGGAGCCACAGTAGCTGACCAGAAATTTTATGAAGTTGGAGTGAATTTGAGTGATAGGAAGAGACAGATAGAAAGAATAAAGAAAAAGCTAGAGAGAAAAATTGATAAATATGACAAGTGATACGATAAAAAAAAAAAAAAAAGTATATTGAGAGAAGAAAAAAAAGTGGATATATATACAAATATAATTACTCTTGCTTCATATGAGGAAAAGATTTAGATAATAAAGACAATCAAACTTGAATAACAAGACTATAATAATATCAAAATAAATTTGGAATTAAGTGGAGACATGTGTCCCCATATTTCTCACTATAAGTTCATCCTTAAGAGCTCAGAATGATCCTCAGTGGACATATTTTCTCGTAAAAGTCAAACGATAGTATATAATTGATTGTTTGTTTCCATCTTTGGAAAAATAGTCATGAATTTGTCTAAAGAAATATTAGGTGAAACTACAATGCAAGTTTTAGACAGAAGTGACAGCTACTGATCAAAATGATCCATAACCCCTCCCCACAAAGAAAAAGTTAACCACCATAGCTCAATACACGAAATGACGAGGTTTAGTAACAAATCCATGTTAGAGCATGATTAGATACGAATTATAAATAAATGTTTTTATGAGTTTCTCTATTAAAAATAAAACAATTTTTCTATAAAAAAATTCTAAAAAGAATGTTTCTAAATATATATCCAAAGAAACTCTTAATAATGATGTATCTAAATCGTTGATTTGATCATGAAAAATGGATATCAAGTCATATATTCCGATTCATAATAAATTGAAGAGACAGAAGAGGTATCCGATGATTTTTGAGTTAATGACTTGCATTATGCACTTATGTGGGACATCATCTTACTTATTTGTGGGGGATATATTGCACTGATTGTGGAAAAGTTTTTAAGTCTCAACTAACCTGATTTTCTTCTTTAATCCAATTGAGTCACTTCTAAGTTCTAATTTATTGGAGATCTTTCTCACTAGTTCATGCATGATTACATATACCTATATACAGATATGTATTTATGTTAAATATTTAAATGAAGAGATTTTCCCTCATAATAATTTTACTTGGTTCAAACAAAACTGCTTGCAGTAAAAGATACTTTGTAGTATATAATAATAATATATATATATATATATATATGCATGTGCATACTGAAATTTTTGTATTATGCCTTCACTATATATGCAGATAGCAATGTGTAATGTATATGTATACAGTTGCCATGAATATTCGTATGTATAAACATACATATATAGACAAGAAAAATAATTATTAGACAAAAGACCAATCATTTAGTGTTTTATACAACATTATCAACGATTCTATACAGCACATAAAGCATAATCATACTTCAGAATACCAGAAACAAAGCACAAAATTTCCATGAAAGCTAAAGTATACATGCATCATACACACTGCTCGGAAGAAAATTCAAAGTTATTTTCCCTACTTTGCTTGATAAGGTACTGATGCAACTTCATAATTGTGAATAATACAGTAGGACTTACCCAATATTAACTCAATTTCTTCATGAACTTCAATCTAAATTCTCATTCAAATAACAAAACACACTCCTTGACAAATAAAGAGACCAGAGAAAGGTTTAACTTGATCCAAGGATATATTGATAGACTCATGTATATCTCCAATTGCAGGACACTGCAGCTAAGGTTATAATAGATATACAAGGCATAGTAACAGACTCAGAACTTTGAAATCATTGAGGGACCTGAAATCAATTCACGCAGAGTAAAATAAAATAATCAAATGCATTTAAAGATAAGACATTCTTTCTTTCTATTAAATTGTCGAATACAGTTGGTTATAGAAGACAAAGAATTTATTTAAAAAATGCAAGAATTGAAGATATAGTATGGTCATGATATGATGTCTTTGCAAGCACAGTGTTTGGTAGTGGGGAAGAGTACAGTGTAATTCATGTACGGAAGTCAGATATACATATTGCAGCACAAAATAGAAAGGACTTTTACATAAATGTGCAATATGAATATGAAGACAAGAAACAAATTAAATAATTGGATAAGACAAAGCTTTATGAAAACTAGAGACCCGGGATTCTGGTACACTAAGGTATAGTATATAAATTAAGCATGATATACCCGCAGTCACAGACAAGAAACTCTCCAAATAGCATCTAATGTTCAATTTCGTTAAATCTTGAATTTAATCTTTTTTATAATGAATTTTAAAATATTTTTATGTATATCTATGTCAATATATATCAATTAAATTTAAAATTCTTATATATTATATTATCAAAGAAATTATCCCATATCTGGAAGATAGTGGGAATCCAAAAGAAGTAAGATTGTGTGGAAAAGCAAACATGTACTGTCTATATTATATAAGCACCATCTAAATGTTATGAAATTGAGATCAGAAACCACAATAACATCGTCATCTTGCATGTGAGAAAGGACAAATAGAGAATGGATGGGAGAGCATTCGATAGTCCCTACCATCCCCAATTAACTCAAATGTAATGTGAAAACAAAATCAAATGAAGGTAAAGTAATTAAGCACTGTTATTATGCCATTTATCAAAATTATCTATGAGATTTAGGGTTTAGAAGTCCAAGGACTAGGGTTTACTATGAATGAAATATGAGATGCACTCTAGGTGAGAAAAAAAAAATGACCCTATATATATAACACCTTCAAATTATGTGTTTGATGTAACTTTCCTTTTCTAGCAATCTTAATTTGGAAAATTTAACCAGCTGTAAACACTTACCTAAAGAAGTTATTGTCCAAATTAATTAATGATCTTGTTAATTGTTCAATTATGCTTTTATGATGCACACAATAATGTCAATGATTCAAACAGCAGCAAGTCTTTTCCATGTCAACTTCTGAGAATAGCAGCAAATCTATAAACAGTAAGTAAGAAAAATCAATTTACCCTTATGATTATTATGCTGGAGAAGAAGCCAGACAAAAAGAGAGACTCAAAATTTCACTGCTGCAAAGGTAAGTTTGAGCTGTCCCCTATGGTCTTGATTAGATTCCTCTTCTTCTTTTTCTTCTTATAAGGGATCCCTCTTGCCTTAGCTTGAGAATCACGAACCTCGCGAAGATAGACTCTTATGGCGCCACTAGCAAAAGGATTAGTCTCAGGCAAGCCTCCATTTTCTTCATATGCAGCTCTTAGCCTTCCAATGAGAGCATCAAGGCTTCCCCAAGCTTGTCTAAGAGGGCATGTGCATGGACCAGGTGGCTCGACTTGACCAAAGAAGAGACAACCTTGAACATGCACTTTTGTTTTCCCAAACTGGTCCAAGTACCTTAGGAAATCAAGCACTTGGGTGGAATTGCACTGTGAAAGTGCCACAGGAGGCCTTTGGTTCCTCAAGTATTGGCCAAAAGTGTTCCAATCCCTCCTCTTCTGAGATTCATACCTACTCAGAGGTTGTTGATTCGAAACAGCTGTAGCAGCAGTGGTGATAGTAGTAATAGTAGTAGCAGAAGAAGATCTCGATGATCCTTCTGCTATGTCTTTTCCTTTGCTGGACATACCTGAGCTAGTGATTGTAATTCATTTAGTATTTCATTTTCTGAAGCAAGAAAGAAAGGGGAGGTTTTGTTTTTTGGAAGGGAGAAGACAATAGAATAGCAGTGGAAGAAAATGACAAATATTTTTTTTGGAGATCACATCAAAGGGGCTAGTGAGGAGACATGGAATGGGACCAATGAAAGTGCTTTAGCCTTCTTTTTCTTCCTTCCCTACATTATCTTGCTTTAATGGTACTATTAGCATTAACCATACTTTATAATTTTGTTTCCTCTTATTTTTTTTAATTATTGTGCTCCCATCATCAAAGGTGTCATTATTGGGTAACTTAGCGTAATTAGCACTATGGTTATACCTGATGACCATTAAATAACAGTCTAGGTCGTCTAGCATTTACGGTCTTGTTTGCCACGTATTGGAAAATTTTGGAATTAGATGTTAAACTTGGTCACTTCCGTAACCTATTCTATTAAACTCATTGTCAAGGTAGAGAAGTATGGTGTTACATCTCTTTCACATTGTCTTTGAAGATCAAAACAGTTTAATTATATTTACCCTATAGCTCTTACTAATAAAGGGAAGTCCACCCAAAATTTGAATACAAAAATCAAACTATAGATAAAAGAGTATTGTACGGTACGTCCATAAATACATGACATGAAAGAATATCTTAGTAAATAGTTTTAATTATTGAAAAATTAATCTTAAACAGCTTTTGCATTTTTATATAGTAAAGATTTATTATTATTTTTTGTCTTTATCATGTTAATTTGTTTCTAATGCCTTTAAACAATCCATCCGTTAAATTTGTGTGTTTCTAAATGGAATAAATCTGTGGTTCTCCCACCCGTTTTTTAGAGTAAAAAAGGAGTAAAGAATGATTTTAATTGGAAGAAGGGTTGTTACTTGCATAATTGATCAAAGTATCTTAATCAGAAGATGTAATATAAATATATTATATATATTTGTGCTTGAGGATCCGTACTACACCATTTCAACCCCTAGTTTGGCATAATCATAATATCTAGAGTTTATCTGTTTGCATAATGACATAAAAAGCCATGTCGACAGCAAATTTAATTTTGTTCAGAATTATTGATTTATTGAAATTGTTATGGGTTGGGCTTCCAGCCCAAAAAACTAACATTACAAGACATCTCATTATAAAAAAAATGCTCTAAACCCAAATTATATATGGTTAATTGTGTTGGTTGAAGTCACTACCAATATGCAAGATACCTAGGATACACTCGTGAATAGTATATTACTCCAAAGTAAAATTATCATGTCTACATTAAGATAGAGAATGATTGTTCTTGAGAGGCTTGAGCCTCGTATCAAAAATTAGTTTAACTCATCTCTCACCCTTATAAAATTGCATCAAATAAGTATATTTAAAACAAATTATTTTTAGTCTCAGTAAAATGAGTAAGTTTTGATTTTGATTTTTGTAAAAAAATTTCTCTATATCCCTCTAAATTGAAACTATTATTTTTAATCTCTATTTTTTATGTGGTTATTTTTAAATATTTTTTTTGTTTATTAAAAGGTTAAATGATAATGTTAAAATAAAAAAAGGTTAAGTGATCATCATTACTCATCACAACTATTAATGATTTCATGATAGTATTTGACATTCCTAAAAAAGTTTTTAAATTATTATATATGTACTATCCGTACCATCTTACCGAGCTCGAGCTCGGCATCACAGCGCAAGACGACCTCGGATACGCGTTGGGCGACCTCGGCCAAGACGAGGTCCGCTATCCAATTAGGTCATAACTGATATTGGGCCCAAGGCCCAGAAAAACCCTAATTCACACCCAGGTACGTGCATTATTTATACGAGACTCACACTCATACAAACCCTAACTTTAGTCGGAGTCTCTTTGGCAGGTACCACCCCCATCTTGGAGCACCAGCGTACCAGTGAAGGAGGTTCACCGATCTTACCTGGCGGATCATCTCTACCGCAGATTTCTGGTAAGAACATTTGGCGCCCACTGTGGGGCCAATCAAGACGGCTCTTATCGGCCACCCGTATGGTTTTCACCAGAAGCCATAGCAGACGAGCAACAGACGACGCTGATCATGCGACAAGCATGGGTGACGCAACATCATTGAGAAGACTGATAGAACAGGTCGAGCAGATGCGGCAACAACACGACGCCGATTTGCGAAACATGCGTGCCAAGCACGAAACTGACCTAGCGGCGCTGCGTACCGCTAACGAAGCTAACCTAGCGGCGCTGCGCGCCGAGAATGAACGTATTCGCGCCCAGCTTCCTCGGCGCCCTTCTGATCAACCCCCTCCATCGAATAACCAACACGAGGAAGAGGGGCACTCAGTCTCTCAACCCCCAACCGCGCCTTAGGCACCCACTCCCCGACCTGTCACACATTGGTCTCACGCACCGACGAACAGGTCGGCTCACGAGGTCAACAATGCTCCTGCCCACGTCACGAGAAATCAAGCGACCTTCTGCCGTCATCCTTTTGTGGATGGCATCATGGAAACGCCTCTCCCTTTTGGATGGAAGCCTCTCCACAACGACCGTTACGACGGCACGACAGACCCAGACGAGCACGTCGGTCTGTACATTACACAGGTAAACCTATACACTAATAAAGATGTTATTCTGTGTAGGGTTTTCCCGACCTCGCTCAAGGGGGCAGTGCTCAACTAGTACACTCAACTACCGGTGGAGTCAATAGACAACTTCGACACTCTGGTAAGGCGATTCACGGCGCAGTATGCCACGAGTCGACCTCACCATGTCACATCAGCCGCCTTGGCCAGTCTCAGACAGGGCGACGACGAATCACTAAGGGCGTTCATGGAACGCTTTGCCAGTATCTCGGTCAAGATTCAAAAATTGAACCCCGAGGTCGCCTTACACGCCATGCTCATGGCGCTCAAGCCTGGACCTTTCGTGGACAGCCTGTGTCTACGATCTCCTCTTGATATGGACGAACTCCGTGCCCGAGCTGCAGGGTACATTCAGATGGAAGAGCACTCTGCTTTTCGTGACCAGGTTCGCAACAAACCATAAGGAAAGCAAGACCAAGGTCAAAGCCACAAACATTTAAAGTTGGCGACCTTGTTTGGTGGGGTGAGAGATGCAAGAACAGACCCCTCCAAAGGAAAATTTGGAACCTGGAATTCCACCCACCTCAAATTTTATTTCTCTTAACTTGTAAATTCAGGTGATGTACTCTTTTTCCTCCTCAGCCTTTTTTCCCACTAAAGGAAAGGGTTTTTGGCCAAGGAAGGTTTTAACGAGGCACACCTCAGAAATAAATCAACAAAGCAACTCCATTCCCATACATTTTCGGTATTGGCACATTAACCATGACGACTTGTCAAGGTCGAGTCCGAACCTTGAGATCACATTTTCTTAACCAAGGTCGAGTTCGAACCTTGATATGCCAAGGTCGAGTTCGAACCTTGAGATCACATTTTCTTAACCAAGGTCGAGTTCGAACCTTGTTATGCCAAGGTCGAGTCCGAACCTTGAGACTACATTTTCTTAACCAAGGTCGAGTTCGAACCTTGTTATGCCAAGGTCGAGTCCGAACCTTGAGATCACATTTTCTTAACCAAGGTCGAGCTCGACCCTTGAAGATCACATCTACTTAACAAGGTCAAATTTGAACCTTCAAACAACAAATTTGGGAGCTCCTCAAAAGCCCCTTCGCTCTTACATCACTCGGAGCTTGGGGGGTAAGTGTACTGGCTAGCCGAGTTGCCGACTTGTCCCTCACCAATCGATTGACTCGGTCAAAGGTTTTATAGTCTGACCAAGTAGTAAACTCACTATTGTCGATTTCCTCAACTCAGCCATGAAACATGGACATCGGAATACCACATCGGCCAAAGAGGCCACGTCATCAAACAGCTAAAAATACAATCTTGTCACCGCGCCGCAATCACAAGGTAGGCGTACGCGAAAGGTCACGGCCCCTTGACGAGCTCGGCCTTAACTCCTCGACCTACGATCTTCGGAGCTCGGGGGCTAGTGTACTATCCGTACCGTCTTACCAAGCTCGAGCTCCGCATCACAGCGCAAGACGACCTCGGATACGCGTTGGGCGACCTCGGCCAAGACGAGGTCCGCTATCCAATTAGGTCATAACTGTTCTCGAGCCCACGGCCTAGAAAAACCCTAATTCACAACCAGGTACGTGCATTATTTATATGAGACTCCCACTCATACAAACCCTAACTTTAGCATCGGAGTCTCTTTGGCAGGTACCACCCCCATCTTGGAGCACCAGCGTACTAGTGAAAAAGGCTCACCGATCTTACCTGGCGGATCATCTCTACCACAAATTTCCGGTAAGAACAATATAAATGTTTATAACCTATCTTAAAATGTTTGTAAGAGACAAAAATAATAATTTTAAATTTTAGACATAAAAATTAAATACAAATATTTTATGAATTTCTACTATGTTGAACATTGAAATATTTTTTATAGTTATCAACTCATTTTTCAATGTCTTGATTACTAGAAAATCAATCGCATATCATTTCAATATATTTAGACCTCAGTCTTCTTGAAGCTCAACAATCAACATCCCCATAATTCAATCCAAATAATAATAAATAAATAAAATCACCTACGTGCATCTAACACAGATCATAAATATATTGTAATATAACAATAAACAACTTTAACTTTTTAAAGCTTTTTTTTTTACCAATTATATCCTATTTTTAAGCTTACCACTAATCATGATAAGTTTTGTTTTGAATCCTACACATCTTGGTCTACCATATATGTTATGTTTACCCTTTGATGGACTTTGTTACGTCGAAAGTATGGATGAAAACGAATTGAGTTAAATTATATATACAAAATTTGAGTCTGACTTGTTTTTCAAATTTAAAACTTTAAATATATATCCAACTTATTTACTCAATATATTTTTTCAGGCATAATTTAATTTATTTTTTAATCTCTTATCTCAAATTCACATAATCGATTAGTATGAAATTGTTCTAATGTAACTAATAACATTTGATTTAAGCTCTGAATATACAATTGCATTAAATATTTATAAGAAATAATTTTTCACAGACATTGATCTTATTCAGCTTGAGTAGAATTCTCGCATATTTGTAATATGTCCTAATCTATTATAAGTTTATTATGTAGTGACATTTTAAACATTTTAACAAATTTATTTTT